TATTAATTTTTTCTATTTATATATTTTATATATTTTATAAAATAATAATTACTGAATATATTCAGTTTTCAGTTTATTATATATATAGGCAAACATTAGAAAATACAAATTTTTTAAAGAATATTTCTTTATTGTATCGAATCCAGTTAAAAAAATGAACAAAAAGATTATTTTATCACGAATCAGTTATTAATGTAAATTTTAATCTAGTCTAGCCGTACAAAGTAGCTTTTATTAGAATGAAAATATTTATCTATAATATAAATATAATAGTTTATTAATTTAATTGAATCACGAAATAAATTCAATTGAATTTGAAAAAAACGATAATTTAAAATTGCCATCAAAGTAAACTTGCACTCTCGATTTCTTTAGTTTCGTTGGGATCTTTATTTTTGTTATAACATAATCAAACAATACTTTTTTTGTAAAGTAAATAATTGTGTATCTTCTTATTATTATTTTTATTCTTTTTAAATTATAAAACTAATGCAATGTATATGAATTATTCCCAAATTTTTTTACAAATTTTTGGATTGAATAAAATAAAACACGAATCAAATAACTGTAATAAAATTAAGAAGATTTGAAAAAGAATTTTCAAGAGAAAAAAATATAAAATATATAAAAAAAGTTGAAAAATAATATTCATAATATTATAATGAAATAATATCAAATTTTATAAAAATTTCTTAAAACGCAATATTAAATATTCAAGACTGTAAATTTATAAAGATCAAAGACATCCTTTTCGAAAATAGATTATTATTAACATTAGTAAATATGTATGCGCGAAAAGGCGAAATAAAGACAAAGAAATTTTTCTAAAAATTTGAAAGCTCACAAGGGGCTCCCTATTAAAAAAACGAATACATCCAATTCACTTTAGCGTTTACAAATTTAATGTAAGCTTCAACAAAGACTGATCGATGTTACAAGACACGAAAGAACTCGGTATAGAGACTACCATCGTTCTAGAAAAACTGACACATTCGTTCATGAAAGTCTACACAGAAATAATAAGCGAAATACGATGTTATATTATGCAAAAATCAATTTCTTACGTATCGAGGTCAAATATACATTTATTATTTTTTTTTTCTTTTTTTCTCTTTTAATTATTCATATCATGTTGATTTCTTATATCAAAAATGAAATGAAAGTAGAAACTACAAATAACAAATTTTTATGGTAATATTAAAACAATCGATTTGTTTCTATAAAGACGCAATCAAAAATATTACAGCTTTTTCTCGTTTCTACACGAAATACCTTTATTCTTTGTATCTCAAATAATCACTATATAGACAAAAAAAACAGAAATTCATCAGAAGAACAGAATCAGTATTATCACGTGATTTATCATATAACATTTGGTAAAAAGAAATTATTTTTATCTATCTTAGTTTTTTTACTATTTATATTTTTATATATATATATTTATCTATATAAAATTTGACACTTTGCGTCATTTTCATGAACTATTTAGTTGAGGTTGGAATACGGCAGTGACGTCTCAATTACCGTTGGTCGCGCACTCCATTTCAAATCAACGTTATATATATGCCGTTCTTTGACGCGCGACTTTAAATATTTACGCTCACCAAGGAATATATAAATATAAAAAGTATTTAAAATACGTATCATCATTCGAATTATTTAAATCGAAATAAAAAACTTATTAAATAATAAAAGACGAGATACAAAGAAAGCGAAAGAAAAAGATAAAATACAAAAAAGAATGGAAAGAATGAAATCTAACCTCTAGAACCTACAACTGTATACCATACTCATCGTGCGTTAAACGAACGAGATAAAGCTGCGCACACACGACTACAGGGACGTAGTCAGCTGGTTAAAAACAGCTGTGTCCCGTCATCGACGAAACGAGGAATTAAATATCCCTCATCATCATGAAACACCATGACATTGCAACGCGTTGTTTCTCGTCGACCTATAAACTGATCATACCTGATAAACAAGCAATCCAACTGTAACATGCCATGCATACTGCGTAGTCTTGCATTCGCAACCATGTGCAGGCCTCTCTTGCACTCGATTGCAAGCACGTGCGATAGAGCGAAAGAGAAAGAAAGAACGAGAACAAGAGAAGTAGGGGATAGAGGGGAGGGACAAAGAAGGAATGAAGTGGGGATGAAAAGAAGAAAAAAGAAGGCAGAGATACAAATAGCGAGTAGAAGAAATAAAAGTGAATTTCAAGGATACAATTTGAGAACGTCCGTGTCCATACGTCGTTTTCCAGCGCTGGGGGACGACATATTTATCGTCTATTAACGCAGCAGAGCCCTTCGCAGCAAGTCCTTGAATCAGCTGAGCTCGATTGTCGTTTCAGAAGGGCCTCTGACTGCTTAGGATTATTTAGCACAGCAGAACCCGCGAAAGAATTGGTTTTTCACCACTATGATATAACACACTCTCTGTTTTCCCGTACAGTTATTCAGCACCGAGAAAAAAAACAAAGACACGCGCGCGTGATGGTCGCTAGTCAGTCGTTGGATGTTCGACGCTCGCCACGAAGGAAAACGACACGGGACGAATTCCGCGACGTCAGCGTTTAATGATGTTTTCTATGGATGAACGAGCGTACGATCCCTTGAAGAGCAGCGTTATACAAAAGATCTTCCTCTTTGTCCAGGCGGACCAAGTCAAAAACTTCGGGCTAGAGAATCATTTCACCATCACCAACGACGACCCGTTTAGAGACTCGTACTGTCGACACGTTTCTCGCGCACACAGAAAACAATTCTTTCCCCTAAACCTCCTCCGCCTCCACCACTACGAAACGCCTGTTCTCGTGCACCCCACTGTCAACTCACGGACTTCACCGCATCTGATTCCGTTTCTACACTGCTCTCTTGCTTGCTGCTACCTCTGTCTCACGTTGTGCCAGTGAATGCGCGCGCACAATACAAAATCCCTGCTATGATCCACGAATCGCCACTGGTTCTTTCGGTCAACCAATATCACTAGAATTATATATCGACTACGATAAACTTCTATTACTTTTTATTTCTCTTTTAAAATTCAAATTCCATACTTAAAAAACGTATATACCAATAATTTAAAATATAAGTATATTGAAGTTTCAAAAAATATATTACTTACTCATTGTAATTTTATTATTCGATATTTTTTCTATATGAATAATTTACGTCATAGATACATTCAAATAAAATATTAATGTGTAATATTATATTTTATATAAATAAAATATAAGAAATAAAAAAAGACCCTTATAAATACCGTTTATAAAATTATATTATTATATAACCATTTATATTATAAATAATTAACGATTTTAAAATATATCAAATATTTATAACACAATTATATAAAAATAAATAATATGATTACGCAAAAATTTAAATATTAATTGATAATATAATTTGTTAAATTAAAAAAAATAAATATATATACTTATAAAACATATCAAGTTAAATTACTAGTTCTTGGTAACACTGTGATTTAATTTATATCAAAGATATATGTATGTGTGGAACTTGAATTTAAATATAATATAATAATTATATTTGTATAATTATTAATAAAATATAAGCAATATAAAAAATACTTATAAATAATGTATAAATACCTTTTTGAATCAATAATATAAAATTCAATATTTATTAAATTTTAAGAAACTTGACATTTGGAATTAACCCATCACACACATATTATAATAAATCAAATGAGCACGTACACTGATAAAATTATAAGGAAGAAATTCAATTAAACAGCAATTATTCTCATGAATGAATAAATTGTAAAGACGATTGAAAAAGAATTGAATTGTTCAGTGAGTCAAATGTCGCACAATTCGCGTTTTACACGGACGTTTAAACGTTAAAACAAAAGACACCTATTATGACAAAATTAACATATACATAATGTATGATAATACTGCAATATTTAGTAACTCAGTAAAATTATTCTAACAAATTGATTTATTTAAAAAATGTATAAAAATTACGAATATAAAATTTTATCTAATATACAACAGAAAAATATCCCAATTGAATACTGTATCAAATTCACAATAATAAATACACAAAAATTTGAGATCCTTAAAATATTAATACATTACATGTTATATGTTTCACATTGTTGAAATTATTTTAAAAATATGATAAGTAATAATATACAAAAATTTGTTTTCATATTATTGTTCATTAATACATTTCAATGAATACATTGAAGTTATAGAAAATACTAATTCTGTTGCCTCTCAAATATAAGTACTCTATGTATAAGTAACTAATGTGCACTAAATTCGCTCTATTAAAGTGTTACAATTCTATTGCACTCTTTTTCTGTTCAGGTCTACTTTGTTGCATGCATACATCTTAAATTCTAATAATTATATTAATAATGCATCAAAGTTAATAAAAATTTGTATGAAATGTATATGATATTAGAAATTTATCGAGGAACTTTTAATACTGCCAAAGTAGATTTTTGCATAATAATACAGAAAAAATTTAACATACTATTTCAATATCACATAATTATCATTATAATGCACGTTTATGTTATTAAAACGAATGTAATTATAGATAAATGCCCAATATTGATATGTTCTATAAAATGATGGAATAGAGTATTTATTATTAAAGAGAGACTGGTGCATTAAAGGCTATTATTGTAGGTATGGCAGTACTATTATTTAATTTAGTACTATTATAATTGTTTTATTTATATACGTGAAAAAATCTTATTGGAAAAAATATATTTAGATTTAAAATGGAATGTTTTATAAAATAATAATAGCTATACGTTATTCTAATATGATCATATATGAATATGATACATAATAAAAATATTAAAAAATATTTAAGAAATAAAATAATTCCTTATTCATTTTACTTAAAAATACTTAATAAATTGTTAAGTATATAAAATATTAAGTAAATGTATTAAAGAAAAAGTAAAGCTTTAAAAATATTCTTCTTAATAAATAATTAATTTTGGCATCAAAAGATTACTTGTCAGAGTATTATCAGTCCTTGCATTCTCTATAAATATCGAAAATTCTTAATTCATATTTATAGCTTTCTATACTATGTTTAAGTACAAAATTGTTGACTGGTCGGTTGTCACTTCTATTTTTTATAAAAAAAAATGTATACCATTTATTCTACTGCTGTTTTTCGTGCAAATGCTGTCAAAGACAACATTTCATTAGGATCAGTGGACAAACGTGAAAATTCAATTTCTTCACTAATACTATTTTCTGAAATTGAGAATATAGTGTAATAAATAATTAATAAAAAAAAATATAGAAATATAGAAATATAGAATATAATAGAAAATATAATTTAGTTACCAGATGGTTCAATAGGCCATTGTTTATGTGAAGGAGCATATAAGCATAATAATGCTATGGTATAAATATTCCACATTCCATATACACCAGTAAAAAATGCTGATGTCATTTCCAAATGTAATTCTTCATCCCATTTCCATTGCCCTTCTGCAACCTATGTATGCATACAATACTTTAGTACATTAATTTATTTCTTCTAACATTTAAAATACAAAATTTGAATAAATACCTGGCCAAGAATAAAACCAACAACTGTTAAGGATGCACATAATAGTGTAGCAATCATCAAAAATTTAAATCGATATATTACACCTTCATAGTGTAAACGCCGTGCTGAACTCATACTAGGTAATGCAGCTCTTTTTGCACTAATATTCATGAATACTTTCCATATCATATAAGCTAAAAATATTAAGTACATGCCAGCAGAAATTCCGGCTAAAATTATAAATGATAACTATTTTATATTTAAAGTCAAGGAATTTAAATTTTTATAATATAAAAAAAAAAGTTTTAGTATAAAAGGATACAGCAAATTTAGTTCCAAGATCTGTTACCCAAATTGAATAAAATGGATTTCGTAATTGAACTCCACGTTCACACATATCAAATACAAATAATGATAAACATCCAATACCCACTGCAGAAAGATGACGCCAATAACATTTTAAAGAATTTCTTTGTTCACCTTCCTAATTAAGAAGCAAAACAAATTATATTTCTGACATAAAAATGCAATTATATAAAAAAATTATAAATAACAAACCTGTATCTAATATGATGAAAGACAATGGATGAAAAGAAAGAATTCATTAATATATAAGAATCAAATTATTTTAAAATTAATTTAATACATAGAAACATTTTACCATAAGATGTTCTCCAGCAAATACAAGCCAAAAGGATAAAAGAATTGCATAAAATACTCCTTGTCTAATATCACCCAATAAAAGCATAAATGGCATATCATATGCAAGTGTTAAATATTCCAAAGGCACTAAAAGAATTATATTTATGTAAATATAATCAATTTTCATGTATCAAATATATTATATTAATAAATACATTACTTACTGTTTAAAAATGACAAAGCTATGCCTAGAGCTAAAAGTAAATATTCCAAAAGAGCTGGTGATCTAGAAAGCATATGTACTCGCCTCCAATACCAAGTAAGAACACATAAAACAATTGGAAAATAAATAGTTTTTAAACTAACCCATACTTTTGTAAATCCACCATTTTGATTGATAGCCTGAAATATAGAAATGTTAATTTAGAGATTCAATTTTATATGAATGCAAAAATAGTATTTTAAATATATATTTACTGTAAGCCATAAATCAGTTATATGTCCTAAACCCTGATTGATATTTCTGTCAGTATCAGCAGGAAGACGAATATTTAAAAGATAATAATCATGAAATAGAGATCCAAGTTCAAATAGTGGTACCATGCTACAATTATAATTATATTGCTCCAATGCCTACAAAAAAGAACTATCTGTAAATAAATATACATTTACTATATTCAAGTATAATAATATTATCAAGTAAGTATAATAATATTTACATCATCAATACTACAATCTAGAATTCTTTCTACTACGGAAGCAGCATATGGTTTCCAACCATCGTCTGGATCACCTTTATTTCTGTAAGCAAGTCTTGCATCCAATGTTATTTTGGTCCTAGGAGCTGTAAAACATAATAATTAATAAAATATATAAATAAAACAATATTTTATATATATACAACATATATATCTATATAAATATATTTATATTGAAAAAAAGAAACCAATAAAAAAAAGATAAATCACCAATTTCTATTTGACTATGATATACAATATCCACTTGTAAAACACCAATCAAATTTTGTTGCCATCTGGAATAATCAAGTTGCATGCTATTTCGAGGTACAGGCATCTGTAAAATAAATAATTTAAATTTTTAAATATAATGCATACTTTTCAATACAATACAATTTCATAGAATTACCTGAAACGTATATACAACTTGATATGCTTGATGATGATTATCAAAACTAAATCGATTCATATCAACAGGAATACAAGATCCTTTTCCTCTTGAATAAAACCATTTTCTTCCTCCAGGTTCAGATCCATTTATACGAATATCTTTGCAAGGTGTACCAAGTATATTTTGGCTACTAGCTGGAGTTGGAGCTAAAACATAATATATATATAGACTATTGGTATTATTAATAGTTACTTGTTATATATACTTTTATTAAAATTCCAATAAAAAAATAATAATTCACATTAATTATAATAAAAAATTTTAAAAACAAAAATAATAAATCCATTAATTCAATAATTTTTATTATAAATAATTAATAAGTATCTAAAATTTTCCATAATTTAAAATAAAAGTAAACACATAGTTATTTATTTACAAAAATTTTTATATTTTGCAAAATTAAAATAAAAAATATAATATTTAACTACAGTCAAAATTATTATAATTTTGAAATTATTGACATTTCTTAACTTACCAATAAGCCCGCCTATTAAAAAACAAATTATTTGTGCGATAACGAGTAATATTACAAGTACTGAAAGCTTTCTACCACTTAAATTTTCTATGATTGTTCCTTGCATTTTTTTAAATATAATTATTTATTATAATGTTTATAATATTTTCTATTCAAAATATAAAATCACCAAAAAGGACGCATAAGCAGACGCGCTTATCCGTAGTGTGAAGAGCAGTTTAACGTGCTTTTCGAGTAGCTTCACTTTTCAAAATGGAAGCTGTGACATACCAATATTTATAGAAATTCTTGTGAAAATCTCTAAAAAGATTTTGCGAACCAATCATCTCATATTCAATGTTGCCAACAATCATCTAATACATTTATAAAGTATAGGAATATCGCTACAATTTTAAGTACTCATTAATAAAATTTTGAATATACCAAAGACTATTGAAAATTATCGAACACATTATAGCACATCGATTTTTTTTTTAAATCGATAAGAAAACTCATCGATCGATAGAATAACATTTGTAGATGATTCGAGTAGTCGAAAAAAAGTATCGATTCATAAATTAAGTCAGAGATGCATTACATACTGCATCTTCAATAACTATTAGAAAATGCGTGACGTAGCGATGGATGCAAATGGAAATGGGAAGCGTGATCTTCCCCGAATAGTTCTACAGCAACGAATTATGAGTACTGAAGTGAGTAAATGCTTTGTCAACTAAGTGCAAAAATCTTGACAAAAGTAAATAACGGTAATCGGCGTGGATCAAGTCGTTTCTAACCTTTTTGACAGAAGCGTATTCTACTGATTAATGCCTGGATTGTCAAAATCTGTTTATCAAATCATACGATACGTGAATAACATCTCATATCCTTTTCTGAATAATAATTGTTGAAATAAATATTCATAAAATGGTACATACATATTATAATTGATATTTTGTTAAAATCAAGAAATAATAACTAACATAAAAATAGTAACATTTGTATATATATATTTTTTTTTGTTTTATGTTCAGGAAATATCTAAATCTACGGATTTGGATTTTATTTATGATGATGCAGACAAGCATGCCAACGAAATTGCAGAATTATATAGTTATTCAGAACAATCTGAATTACACGTTAACCTTACAGTGAGTATAGGCATTTCTATGGTTATTTTACGAAAAATTAATACAATAGAAATATATTTATTCTTAGGCATTTGAAGAACAAATGGAATTATATAAATTAAGACCATGGTGGCAAAATTTATCAGAAGCTCAACAAAAATCTGTAATTTACAAATTATTAGATCAATTAGAGGTTTCTAACAAACAATTAAGGATGAAGGCAGCAAGATGTATCTTGTATTTAGCTCAAGGTTGTTGGGCTGAAGTACAATCTGATGAAGAGCAACGAGAATGGACCAGAAAAAATGTTATGTTATTGTATGAGGCTGGAATTTTTCCAACATTTGTTGAACTTCTTAATATTGAAATTACGTATGTTTATTCTTTCTTATAAAAAAAAATTTGATCTATTAATATCTTTTTATAATTCAAATTTTTAAATTTTTAGTAATAGTAGAAGAGCTGCTTCTGCAATGAGAAAAATATCTGTTAGCCTTGACGATTCCACTGATTTAAGAGTAATTTTGTCAGTTTTATATATTATAACAGAAGTGATGAGAGAAGAAATGAAAAATTTAAAACACAGTATTTATAAAAATAATGTTGAATCTTTTAAAGAAGATTTAATAAATCCTTATGGCGAAGAATTACTTATAGTCAAACTTCTTGGTATGGTAACATATTTTTGCAGTGGAGCAGCTCCACATTTTCCAATGAAAAAAGTTCTTTTATTATTGTGGAAGTTAATTTTGGTATCTTTGGGTGGAATTGATACATTGAGAGAATTAAAAAAACAATATCGTGAAGAAGCTGGTCTTGATACACAACAGGAAGATACTTTAGAAGTTGCTAAAACTATGAGAGCTAGTTCTCCTCCTGTCAGTGCAGCAGATTTAATTGAAACACAAAATCAAAAAAAGAATCATAGATCTTATCGACGAGTATGTTAAATTTTTATAAATTTTAAAAATTTTATTTATAATTTACAATTATTATTTAACACTTCTTATTTTTAGTTTTTAATGAAACAAAGTTCATTAGATGAACCAGGCTTGGAAATGGAATATGAAGGTGCAGAAATGGGAAATGATACTGCAAACAATGAAGGTGAAGGAGAAGCTAATGTATTTATGAATCAAACTGTTTTGACTCAGTTACGAACTTATTGTCAAAATGAAAATAATCAACCTCAAGTAAGACCTGATACTCCACAACTTACTAAAGGAAAAAGTAATATTTTTATTTTATTTTAAAAAATGATTATTATTTAAAAATATAAAATATTATTTCAAAGTAACACATTTTTCAACAAAAGGTTTACCATGGACACCAAAGGTGAGACAAAAGGATGTGGACACTTTTCTGGAAGTATCAAGATTAAAATTTGTTGGTTACAATTTAGAAGGAGATAGACAAAGTCTGGCAGGTTTACCACAACCAATACTTGAAGGTGTTAATACACTTAAAAGAGTAAGTCTAAAACTTTCATATATTTAATACTTAAAAAATTTAGATCAATAAAATATTTGTTTTTATATTTACAGCATATGTATATATCTTTAGCAGAAATCCAAATTCAAAAAGAAGAACAAATGCTTAGAAATCCTATTAGTACTCCAAGGTTTCCAATTCGCCAAACACCAACAGAAATTGTATATCATGCTATATTACCATTTGTTCCACAATATATGATTGCATTACTGAAAATTTTATTAGCAGCTGCACCTACTAGTAAAGCTAAAACAGATAGTACTAATATTATGGCTGATGTTTTACCAGGACAAATGCCGTAAGTTTTAAGAAAAACATGATTTTACGAATTTACATAATAATAACGTTCACAGGAATAATATATTAAAATCATTTTTTATTGTATATTTATTAAATATCTTTATCTTTATTATTATATATCTTTATTTTTTTTTTCAGTATGACCGTTTTTCAATCAATGAAACTCGCCATTGATATAAACAGACATAAAGAAATTATTGTTAAAGCCGTATCTGCTATATTACTTCTTTTATTGAAACATTTTAAATTAAATCACATATATCAATTTGAATTCATGTCACAACATTTAGTATTTGCTAATTGCATACCACTCGTTTTAAAATTTTTAAAT